TATCTTCGTAGTGCTTAGGCGAAGCCCTGCGCGGATCACTAGCTACACCATCATCATCATCATGCCGTCGTGCTGACGGAATTCTCCCTCGACACTTTGCTGGATCAAGAGTTCGAGGGACGTCATCGAGCTGAACGTGTGCAGAACTCGGAGGTGCCGTACGTTCGGTACTTGATCGGTCGGAACGAGAAAAAGTTCGACTACATCAACCGTGTTGTCAAACGCTTCCACTTTCGGTCTACGAGGGTACATGGACACACTCTCCCCCTCTCGTTGCTATGCATCTACTAGATAGATATTGCGTGAGTGTAGGAAATTTTTGAAAATGCATGCTATGTTCCCCAACAGAAGGAAGAGGCGGTCGTCCAACGCCAGGCTCGGCGAGCCTCACGTCAAGTGGACGCCAAAGGAAGATGAGTGCCTTGCTGAAGCATGGAAGACTGCCGGCATCGATCCGATCACCGGAGCGAATCAGAACGCCGACACCTACTAGAGAAGGGTCAAGACGGCCTTCGACGAGCGCAAGATGGTCGACCCCGAGTTCGCCGGCATCCAGATGGATCGCGGCGAGAAGGCCATGGCCAACCATTGGGTGACCATCCAGCAGGCCTGCAACAAGTGTCATGGGATTCAGGACGAGGTCATTGCTCGCCCGAAGAGCGGCGCCAACGTCGAGCGTCAGGTATGTCCATGGCTCGCCGGCCCAGCTCTTTGTCGTGTACTTCGCCGACACTTGTTCTTCGTCTGTGTAGATGGTCCGAATGTTCGACATGTTTCGCCAGGACAACAATGACCTTGAGTTCAAGTTCCTTCATGTCTTCACCAAGTTCGAGTCATGCGAGAAATGGACAAAGTGTCATCTCGCTCTCACCAAGACCAAGGACGGTGTCTGCAACCCGGACGCGCCTGTCTCGGCGGCGGCAGAAGGGCGTCCTGATGGCAACAAGAAAGCCAAGGTACTCGGCGCCCGCTGCCGAATGGCTGCAGTCGTCGATAGAACAGTGCATCGCTGACGCCAGGAGCCACACCGCCAAGAGGGAGGAGAAGTCCGAGGCGAGGTGGCTGGCATTGATGACGAAACAGGATGTCAAGCTCGACCTTTTCAGGACCAACGTCGTCACGAAGAAGAGGAACACCGACCTGGAGTTCCCGATGGGAGCAGACATGGCGACGATGAACCAGCAGGTGAAGACGTGGTACCTGGTGGAGCGCGACCTTATCTTGAACCAGATGCCGGGACCGGCGGCGACCACTGTCACGCCAACGCCGAGCATTGCAACTGCGCCCATGCCTACGCCGAGCACTGCAACTGCGCCCACGCCAACGCCGAGCACTGCAACTGCGCCCACAACGCCTACACCGAGCTCTCCCACCCCTATGGTAGAGTAGCCTGCCATTTGAATTCCATGTCTATGGTTCCTGCCCTTTTGATCGTCGAACTTTGGCTATATTCGATCGTCGACCTGTAGCATGATGATCGCCGAAT